CTAATCCTGAAGAGGCAGGTAGTGTGGTAGTCATCACCCTGCAGAAGGAAACGAAGAAGGGGGGCCAGATGGCATCAGTGGTTAAGCCACTGAACTTCCACATGGCTGACCACGGTTCGAATCCCAGACCTGGTGATTTAAAAATCAGTCTAGGCTTGTGTGCATGTGTGCCCCAAATCCCAGGAGAATAGAGAAGGGATCGTGGTGTGGCCAACCCCCTGGGGATGATTTCTCACTCCCTCTGCCTGCCTCTCTCTGGTGAGCACACATTGCCCTAAGGTAAACATCAAAGAAGAAAGAAGAAGAAGAGAAGAAGAAGGAAGAAGAAAAAGAAAGAAAAAGAAAGAAAGAAAGAAGAAAGAAAGAAGAAAAGATTTGAGGGGTTCCCTCCTCATCACAAGGAACAAAGCCAGGATTCAAACCAGCAACTTGACTTCAGCCCACGGGCTGAAGCACACCGCAATGCCACCAGACAGAGAATGAAAACAGCTTCAGCTCAGTGCTGGCCCCCGGCCCCTAGCTCCACTGAGCAGGCCCACAAGGCAGAGAGACGAGTGATGGGAATTCGGCTTCCGTACACATAGTCAGAATTCTGTAGAAACAAACAGAATTTAAGGGCTATTTTGATTTCAGCATACATATGAGTTTTCTGTTTTACAGTTTAGGTATTGTTTTTCTTTGTTTTTTTAAAAAAGAGTTTTGTTTTGTTGTTTTTGCTATAGGGCATGTGTGTTCACCACAGAGAGACAGAGAAACAGAAAGCAAGAGGACGGCCATGCCATAATCCCTTCTCTATTCTCTTCTTGAGACTTTGGGCCCACACGCACTCATGCCCAGTGTGAGTTTTAAGCCACCAGATCCAGGACTCGAACCACAGGTCAGTTACGTGGTGGTCCAGCGATGTAACCATTACGCCATCTGCTGGTCCCAACATATTTTTCTCTCCACTTACATACTGTGGTATACTGGGGGTCATATAATGTTTTCAGGCTTGGTGCCCCAAAGGCTGTCACCTGGGCCTGTCTCCCAGCATAGCCAGCTCCTCTGCGGGTCCATCAGAATAAAAAGGGCTAAAATTACTGAACCATGAAATCCCCTTCTTCCCACGAATCGCACGTCTCACCGCCGCAGCTCCCAGGCCTCCCCCACCTCTCTTGACTGGAGGCCCTGCCGAGACCCCAGGCAGAGGCAGTGATCAGAAGCCCTGGAGATGCCAGTAAGTTCCTACATGGTATAAAACACAGGTGACGTGATGGGCAGGGTGCTGGACTCCCACATGGTCAACCTCAGTTCAAGTCCTGGACCTGGCGACTTGAAACTCACCCTAGGTGTGTGTGCGTCCATGCCCCAAATCCCAGAAGGGTGGGGGAGAAGAGACTGCAATGTGGCCACCCTCCCGGGGGAGTGATTTCTCACTTTCACTGTCTCTCCAGGAGCACACATGCCCTATGGCAAACGCCATTAAAAACAAAACAAAATGAAAACAACTTTAAATTAATCCAGGATAAGGTGTCAAACTTCCTAGAGCTGCGGTGGCAGAGACCAAAGAGGAAGTGCCAGCCAGGCTGTGTCCTGGGCCTAGGCCACCGGGGAGTGCCCGGCTCTGACCTGCCTTCCCTGACTTGGAGACGCCCATCCTGGGGCTCAGCAATCCCCTCCTTTTCAAGTTGTGCAAGGTGACTCGAACAGCCATCCCACACTCCCACCCCCACCCCACACAGCCAGGCTGCCCCTCACCTCTTGCATGGGTTTTCCTGAAGCCTCTGGAGGTGAGAATAGTTCCCTCTTCATTCTCGCCACCCCTCCTGGGTCTTCCCCAAGTTCCTCCTGGGTCTCCCCCAAGCCCCTCCTTCCTGGGGATCCAGGATCATTCCAGAGCTTTGAGAGCCCCTTCCCCACCCCATAGTCTACCTCATTAGAGTCTCACAACTGCACTGCCTCTGAGGAAGGCCACAGACCATGGCTTCCAGTCTACCTGACAGAAGAGTAAATTGAGGCCCAGAAAGAGGTGTGAGCAAACCAGGGGGAGAGCAGCACTGGGGAGAGAGCCAGGGCTCCTGAGGGCCAAAGCGCTCCAGGGGCCTGAGCACCAGCCTACGGGTGGGCGGGGCCCTTTGCCCACCCACGCACTGTGGCCCCCAACTTTGAGGGAGCTCAGTGGTCAGGAGAATGGCTTTCCAGCCACTTCGTGCTAGACCTTGGGCAGGTGCCTCCTCTGAGCCTCTGTGGAGTGTCCCCTCCGAGCGGGACGTTCTGTGATTGTGTAACTGGTGTGTGAATCATCTCCACCCCTTTGAGGTTTCAGGGTTCCCCACTGGGTTTCGTCCCCACTTCACAGATGAGGAGACGGAGACAGAGCACGAAGAAAGTGGCGGAGCCAGGACTGGAGCCCAGAGAGACTCCACCTTGAGGGGTAAGCTCTTGCTTCTACTGTAAGCTACCCAGAGAAGCTTCCAGAAAACTGCTTAAGCAACTGAGATCCCATCATGGAGAGTCTGTGGCCTCTGAGTCTCCCCTCTAAGACTGAAGCCTCCAGCTGCCCCTCAAGAAGCATTGCATTATGGGAGCTGAAGGGGAGAGGGAGGACCAGGCAGCCCCCGCCCCTCCTGCGGTCCTTCAGCCTGTCCCTCTTCCTGGGCCCTTGAGCAGACATTGGCACCCAGCCTGGGCTGTGAGCGGACACAGGTTTATTACTACACAGACTGCAGTATCCTGAATGCTCACCCCAACTCCGGTCCCAGAATGGGGCCTGGGAGCTCTGGCAGCCTAAGGCTTCTCCCAGCTCTGGCCCAGCCCAGAAACCTGGGACAACAGTCTCAGAATGGAGGCCTGGAGCCTGTCAGTGCAAGCAGCACCCTGCCCCCCACACCCCACCATTGCCTATTCCCCAGGGGTCCAGAAAAGACCAAGCAAAGACTTAGTGCTGAGGGCCATGGCCGGCCGAGGGCAGGGACCTGTAGGCTCCTCTCTGCGGAAACGCAGTCCAGGACCCCACCCAATCCAGACACCAGGCAGTGCCTGAACAGCAAAGCTGAAGGAGAAGGTCCCCAAGTGTGGAGGAACGGGGAAACCAATCCATCAGAAACAAACTCCCAGGTCTCACAGCTGCCCTGGGAAGGGGAGGCCTGGTCACAGTGCCCATGCCCCAGGTCTGAAGAAATCGAGGCAGGAGAAAGCAGCTCCTTTCGGCTCTGCTGGGGCTTTGCTGTCGCCTCCCCGAGGCTTGGCGGGGTTGGTGGCCCTTTCCCTCTGGTCTCCACCCTCCCCAGAGAGCAGGAGGGCCCAGAGACCCAGCATGGTACCAACGTCTTCAAGTGAGGCCCACAAGCATAGTCTCCTACCGAGCAAGCCAGAGGGGGAGCCATACAGCCTGCATCCGGCAGCGGCAGCGGTAGCGGTAGCGGTAGCGTCCCAGCTCACTCCCCTTCCTGGGAAACGCATCTTGGAAAGTGATCTGTCTTCAGCACCTGCCTGAGAGAAGCTCCCTGGGCGTCCATGCCATGCTCCCCTGAGCCTGCAGCAAGCCCTGCAGGCATGGAGCTCACCAACCCACCAGGAGTCACGGTGGCTTTAGCCATCCCAGGGCTCCTGCACAGGGACCTCTTGGCCCCTGGGCACACCGGAACTGTGAAGTGCAATGCCTCCTCAGACTCAGGCCAGCTGAAGGAGAAGGTCGTAACCTGCTTCCCATCAGGCCATAGCTGCTTCCCATCCGGCCCTAGCTGCTTCCCACCCGGCCGTAACCTGCTTCCCACCCGGCCCTAGCTCCCGGCCAGTGCATTCTCAGTCCCAGGCTCCGGTCCCGCAGGCCCCTCTCCTACTGGTCCAGAAGGCCACTACCTGGCCAGTGGGAGGAGGCAGGAGTCTGCGTTCTGGGGCATTCAGGCCAGGGCTGGAGCGTGTACAGGGCCAACACCGCACAGGAAGGGCCTCTGCACTTGTGAAGGGGGGGGTCCTGCTCTCTCTACAAGGGATGGCAGCCCCCCTCAGCTTTCTGGGAAAGCCCCTGCCACCAGCCAGAGGATTACATGAAAGCAGGCGCAGGGTGGGAGGAAAGAAGATGGCATTTAATATTAATGTCCTGGTTAGGCGACTTCTCCCAAAACACACAAAGCCCAGGGAGGGGGTGACTAGGCGCAAGGCTGGGAGTGGATGAGGGGAGGGACAGGGGCATGTTGGACACGCAGAGGACCAGGGCTCCCCTGGGGCTTTCCTGGTCCCGGACAGAGAGCTCCTGCAGACTCCTAGCACAGTCAGTTCCTCTGGCACCCGCGCCACCCAGTGCAGGCACCCAGGGAGGCCTCCGGAAACATCCGCGGTGTGAACACGAGCTGGACCCAGGATCCAGGGTCCAGTCCTCTGTGGCCCCCTGCCTGGCACTGCAAAAAGATGGGTTCTCTTGTCTTCAGTGAAGCTCCACTCTGCAAAGAGAGAGCAAGGGGGTCAGGTGAGGGCGGCAGCGGGGCGGCACCCGAGGCGGAGCCACGAAGCCCCACCCTCGACTTCTCTTGAAGCCAGGTCCCACCTCCTCGACCCCCAGTGCAGCCTGGCCCTCAGCTCCGTGTGGAATCAGGGACAAGTGCCGAGGCCTCTCCTGGCCCTTGGCACCCGCCTCTTCTTTGCGCATGCTGCTCCCTCGGCCTCCCTTCCTCCTCCTGTGATGTCTCCTGCCTCACTCTTTTATCCTGCAGGTCACTGAAGTCGACAGTGCCCACTGAAGTGCTCCCAGATCCCCTCCAAAACAAGGGCCTGGAGAACTCAGCCCCCCGCGAGGGTGAACCTCGCCAAGGGCCGTTTTCACAGGGATGTGTTCTCCGCCTTCGGGACTAAGGAGGAGCCTCCAGCCCACCCTAAGCTAGGAGTAACGGTGGGTGGCAGGGCGGGAGGCAGAAACTGCTCACATCCCCGAGTACAGGCCCTAGGCTGCAAGCAGCAGAAAGGTCTTCTGTCTTCTAGACACTTCACCCTGAGACTGGCCAGAGCCGCTTCCCTCAGCCCAGCCAACTGCTGCCCTTGTCACAGGACCTTCCCGAGACCCCCAGCTCCATCGTGGGGAGAAGCTGGGTGGAACCAACTGACAGAGGGACAGGGTGGGAGAAGGGGGTGCAAGAAGAGCAGCAACTAAAGTGGGCCAGGAGAGAAAGAGGGTCCCGCCATCCTGCCATGGCGCGGGAACTCCATCTAGATGTGGGCCTAGGGGCTCAAGAGATCAGGATCTGTTCTGCTCCAGGTTTCAACTATAAAACTTTTTTTTTTTTTTTTTACCAGAAGGTACGTGTACTCACTAGAGAGAGATAGAGAGGGAGAGACAGGAAGGAAGGGAGAAAGCACCTCCCCATGGGACATGGCCACACCACAGTCCCTTCTCCTTCATCTCCTCATCCTGTCTGAACTTAGGCATGCACACACACGCACCCAGTGTGTTTCTCAAGCCGTCAGGGCCAGGATTCAAACTGCTCAGCCAGCCATGTAGGATCTAGTTCTTTTAACCACAAGGCCACGGAGCCGGCCTGAACTGCAAGACTTGAATGCAATGAGCTGGAAGATAAGGGTTTACTCTCCTGGGTGAACCCACCCATTTCTTAGGGCAGGCGTGAATCCCTGGTGAGCCCTGAGCTCCCAGCAGAGCAGGTGCTCAGTAAATAGACAAATGCATGAGTGAGTGTGTGAATGGAGCCCTGTGCTCCACCTGACCGAGAGCAGGTGCTCTGCAAATGCTGAGCTAGTGATGTGTGTGTGCGCGCGCGTGTGTGTGTGTGTGTGTGTGCATGTGTGCCTGTGTGGGGGGATGGTCTGTCACATCCACACTCTGAGTGCCTGCTTCTGCTAGGGGACAGGTCTCAGTCACAGGATCGATGTCCAATACCACAGAGGCCCCTGCTCCCATCACCAGGGGCCCAGAACCCCCTCCAAGCTCCCTCTGCCATCTCGCCCCATTGGCCACACCTGGTAGACGAGGTCAGGTCAAGAGGTGGACGAAGAGGATGGCCAGGCCGATGTTCAGCGCAGATGAGGACGGTGTTGGGCACCTAGGACCAAGGACAGAAGTGGCCTGAGTCCCCACGGCCTCTGAGATGCCCCAACCCAGGTCACAGCAAGGCTGGACAGAGGAACAAGAACCATCAGACAAGGTGATTCCAGAACACAGAGAGGGGACAGTCAGCACTGGGACCCAGGTCCCTGCCTTCCAGGCTGTAACTCCTCTGGGGCCGCATTCTTTGGACCTCAGGCTCGCTGCACTCCTGCAGTTCCTAGCCCCCAGGCCCCCATTAACAGAGCTCAGAACGCACCTCCTGCGCAGCCCCTCCTCTACCCTGGGGAGGTCCTTCCCCCACCCCCTGTACCAGATGTAGCTGGTGCCCAACCCACATCCTGTGACCTGGCAGGTGACTGTCCTCCAGGGCCACCAACTACCCCTGCACGTGAGAACTGCAGTTGCTGATGGAGTCAGGTTCAAAGGTTCCTGCCTGCGTGGAAGGACCCTGGGTGTCATTTATGCACCTAAGTCCAGTGGACTAACCAAGACTGCACCAGCATCACCTTCCTGTCCTTCCTGTCCCCTTCGCCACCTCCTGCTCCAGCAGCCTCACCTCTTCCACCTCCACTTCCACCTCTGCCGCCAGCGCGGCCTCCTTCTTCGCCTTCTTCTTGGCCTTGGTCAGCCCTCGGGCCTCAGTCTTGCGTGCCTTGGCCTTGGGCTCAGCTTTGGGGATGATGGGCTTGGCCTCCAGCTTGATGGGGCTCTCCGGTGCGGGTTCGGGGCCTCGGAGCACAGGGGCCTGCACCAGGGCGGTGGCCGGGGACGAGGGTGCAGAGTCGGAGCCGGAAACCTCGGCCTCGGGCTCGTCCTCGAAGGGCGGAGGCTCGGGCGGTCCTGTGCGCACCGCGTAGCTG